CTTTTGTCTCCCCCGCGCATCCATCTTCCTATCTCCTGCCTCTGCGATGTCTTTAAAAGTGCAACGGAAGGCGTACTTTATACACGCGTCGATTTGCGCTCAGTTATGTGAAATATTGATAGCTATTGCCGTGTGCGTTTCTTTCGTGATTTGTTTTACGATTTCTCGATGAAAGCTAGCGGTGTTTTCGCAATCGGTACTTGCCGGTAGCGTTTACATTAGCGTAACTTAGGCCTGACCTATTTCGCGGATACTGTGAGAACTGAGCATATTTGTATTGAGCATATATTGTAAACGTATGTCGAATTTGTACAGTAAATGGTTAAATGTAGTATCGAGAATTCTAAACACGTAATTTATTAGTGAATAAAGGTGGACATGTTATACTTGAAATCAAACTTGGAATCATCGCACACTCGCCAATGGCGGGACGTCACGCTTCGCCATGCTTTTCTTCTTTATGAGCATAGGAGCGGGAGGATATACGCTTACCAATAACAAAGTGTTGCGCTTATCCAATAACCTTCGTTATTCAAGTGAGAACAAAAGGATTGTAAAGCGAAACAGAATATACACATTTTATAAAACGCAATCACGTTCATGGGTTATTTATTAAATTAGTTACATGTATATATCGCAATTTTATTACAAGACACTAATCGCAGTTCAACACGCTCGTATTAGCACAGCATTGGTGTAATACTGATGTTCCACGTACATTATTAAATTGTTATAACACGCTACATTATATGACGAGTATGTGCAACTATAGAATCGGCTTTCAAACATTTCTGTTTGTCAAATGTTTGTAAAACCGATTCGAAATTTCTCGATATCTTCTATAGTATAAAAAAATGCTATTGCCGTTGCGCGCTAACGATTTCCTCTGAAAATCTAGCAATTCTGGCTTTTTTACTCTCGTAACAAATTTATCTGAATGCACAAAAAGCGCATGTACTAACATGGAAGTGCCCACGATTTTGATAAGCTTTCAATATATTGTATTTTATACCAAAATAAGGGACACAATTTTTTTTATACGTATCTTTTATTCTGACTAGAATACAACATAAATAAAGTTATTAAAATCGATGAAGGACACTTTTATGCATCTTGTTGCAAGATATTACATAATCTTACTAAAATACGTATGATATATTCAGAAATAATAAAAATACAAGTTTTTATTTAATATTTTGCCAATTTTTCTGCTACATATATATTTTTTTTATATATTATACTAGTGAAATCCTAGTTTGGAAATCCATATTTGTCGCTTTTGACATTACGACAGTGACATCTACTATCAACTCTACAAAATCTGCATCGGCTAATATTATGTAATTTGACAATCGATAATACAAAGTAATTTAATGTCGATAGAGGAATTATTATCTCCAAATCGACAATATATAGACATAGAGTATATCGGTAATTACAGATTTCATAGAGCTAAGGAAGAATGTTATTATACTACAAAACAATGGTTGTCTTTTTTTTAATTCTATATTGATAAAAGACATTATGAAAATGTTCGTTTGATCATTAAAATCATTTTGTCAAACAATAAGATAATTTATGCAAAGCAAGCGATTTGCGTGTTATGCATACTCTTTCATGCCAATTAATTTATGCACAATAATATATTTAATTGAATTCGGTATTTTTTTGTAGGGTATCAGCGAATAATCTTGTAGCACTAAATAATATTTCGTTATTTTTCGTGATTATAAGTGTGTATAGTTTAAATTCTTTTTCTAAAACTGAGAATGTGATAATATTAATCATTGTGTACAGTTATATATTATAATTATTATACAGGCATAGATTAAAGCAGTTATTTATATTCTAACAGTTTATTTCTCTTTTTCGTTATTAATCTTAACTTTTATGTTGTGTTTTAAGTAAATAATTAAATATGACGAAACAATTTGTATTTATAAAAAGAACTTTAAATGATCTATATATGTATATACAGAGTGTACGAAAAATCGAGGTCAATACTTATGGAAGTGGTTCAGGAGCCTCAAAAATGAGGAAAAAAGCTAAGGTAAATGTATCAGTTAGTGGACAGTTAGTAGATATGACCCAATTCGCTGGACAAAGTGGTACAAAATTGTAAATATTAAGCTTTTAATGATATGTACAACTTTAAATAAATTTATTGTTTATAAAAATTTAATTACAAATAAATTTAAAATCGTACATACCATCAAAAGCTTTATATTTGAAATGTTTTATCATTTTGTCCAACAATTGGTTCATGTCCATTAACTAGTATATTTATCTTTATATAAACATAGACCCGGAAATAAGTTGTTTCCGAGTTATAACCACTTTTATGTTAAAAAATTGAAATTTATTTTTCATAATTACAATCATGATTTATTTCAGTGTTTCAATATAAATAACTACATGTTTTATTAAAAAATTTTTTTTACTTTTTATTTTTTTAATTTTCCAGTATTTGTAAATATGGTTACTGCATTATTTTTAAATAAATCCACTTGATTTTTATCTATGGGGTCACGTAAAGTCACTAGCAGTGTTCGATCTTATCTGGATAGAATTATCTAGATGATCATCTAGATGAAGTTTTGATGCCATCTTATCTTTATCTAGATAATAAAAATATTAATTATCTTTATCTGCATTTTAAATGAAAAAAAGTATCATCTTTATCTAGAATGATGTTTAGATACTTTGGTTTATATTTTACATTGCTAAAAATGTGAAAATATAATAATTGTTCTTCTATGTAGTTCATGTTTACAGAAAAATTTTCAGGCCTCAGGAAGAGAGTGAGTGCATCTAATAGCATAATCATTCGCATTGCTCTCAAATGATCTTTTTATTCCTGTACTAGGACGCTCAATTCTGATTAATTAACCCAGAGCTGCCCAAAGTCGGTGTTTTTTTTGCTTGAAATTGAAATGTATCGTGTCGGTATTCACGCTCTACTGTTCCTACTTATCACTTCGTTGATGTTTTATCGTAGTGCGCAATGCTCGATTCATGGACGACACTAATCCAAAATCGAAAAAAGTTTTTGCCTGTGTCTTTCACTATGTTTAAAAGAATTATTATTAATATTATAAGATACACTATTATTCATAATGCAACGTATTATTCATAACCGCAATGATTATGACATGCTTGCTTTCATGCAACTAATACAGAGGAAAAGGACTGTATAGAATTTTTATGTAATTCTTCATTATTTTTTTGAAAATTGTGAGACATTGTAAGAGACAAACGAAGTATTACATATTAAAATTGTAAAATTTAATATTTTTTAATTATTTTGAGAAAAAACTGATTCTTAATTTATAAATAGTCTTAAAAATAAAAAATGATCTAGAATTTTTCAGATGAATTGTCAGATAAATTTATCTATATTATCTAGATTAATTTAAATGTAATCATCTTTATCATATCTAAGATAAATTTCCTAATTTTCATCTTATCTTTATCTAGCTAATTTTAAAATCATCTATGCACAACACTGGTCACTAGTTTACAGAAATTCGCCCAATAATATTGCTAACTTAAGATAAAGAATAATCCACGGATTCGAAGAAATGAGGAGAGATTCAACTGTTTTTCAAAGAGTTCGGAATTCCTTTGATAGAAGAATGAGGGAGTCTGTATTCGTGCTGAAGATGGTTATTTAAGTTATTTTGAACATTTCATTTAATCTGTTGCATTTCATTTAATTCGATTTAACCTGTTCATGTTTATCTAAAAATAATGCAGTAACCATATTTACAAATACTGGAAAATTAAAAAATAAATGTAAATCAATTTAAAAATAAAACATGTGTTATTTATGTTGAAACATTGTTATGAAATAAATTATGATTGTAATTATGAAAAATAAATTTTAATTTTTTAACATAAAAGTAGTTATAACTCGAAAACGATTTATTTCCGGACCTATATTTATATACAATAGCTTTTTTCCTCCTTTTTTGCTCCCGAATCACTTCTCGAAGTATTTTGACCTCGATTTTTTCCGGACAACCTGTATAATAAAATATTCCTTCTCTCTTAAATGGCCGTTCTTACTGCATTTGCTCCACTCAACATATACACTTATGCTACAATTAACAGTAGCTTGCTTATACTTCGATCTTTATATTATGTTTACGTTATGTATAGCTTAATATTATTCGTTTTGTTCCTCTATTATGGCCGTTTTTCATCGTTTATTTTTCACCATTTGTTATTCTCATTCGATGTTACGATGTAATTTTTTCATCTTCTCTAGATAAATATTCCCAGTAGATGTATGTCTTATACAGATCAATTAAAGATTGAAATTGATCGATACATTTAAATTTTTATATTTCAATTAGATATATATACTACTTTACATCAGTTGTTACTTCTTTAATTGCGTAAAGATAAAATTTTTAAGTATCTTTGACAATGAAATCTGACTTGATTGTAATTTATAAACAATATTTGGCAGTTGACATTTGATATGTATCGATAACAATTTACATCACAATTCTAAAAGTATGAAACTATTGCAATTCTTTTCACATAGACAAAAATATGTGACAGTTTTATTAAATTGTTTTGTATTATTTTGATGATATCTATATAATAATTAAATAATACTTTAAAAATATTGGTACAGTTTTGCCTACGTATTGTAACAGTTATTTTCTGAAATTAGAAATTGGTTCAAATTTTGGAATATATTTTTTGTTATATTATCTTCCATAATCTTTTTTCTCTTTTATTTTAGTTAATATTTCATTAACACACAATTAAATAATTTAATCTATTTGATATGATTATTTATATAAATTGCAATATAAAGTAATTAATATTACAGTTACACTTATTATCTATTCTCTTGATACTATATGTCGCTACATTGGCTTCTGGACATTGCTTTGAGATAATGTTATTTTTTTCAATTAGCAATCTCAATGTAAGATATTTATTTTTAAAATAATTATCTAGGGAAGATGAAAGTAGCTGTTTATTATATCGTATAGTTTATTTCTTTATGTTACCTTTCATTTCATCTAAAGTTTTTCAGTATAATTAGCTTTGGTACTCACTTGGATTCCTATGTTCAATTTATATATGTCTCGTATTGTCATTGTCACGAAGCTACATTCATTAACGCAACGAAACAGTAAACCAAACAATCGCGCCGGGATGTATAAGGCCACCAATCTCACAATTCACCGTACGGGTCTCCCCATTGAGAACAAAGAGCGCCTGGTTGGAGGGGCTTACCATATATCGACCAAATATACCGCTTTGTATTATCGGTCTATTTGGATTACCCCATTTAGTGAGATGTGGTGGTGTTGCCTTTCCCACGCCTGTTATCATTTCCACTTTTCCTGGAAAGACAAATATGTTATTAGTTTCTGTTTTGTAACTTTACATGTAAAAAGTTTATCCTACAAAGATTTTGAGGGAAAAAATATAATAAAATTTTAAAGAAAATGTATTTAAATAAAATGTATGTATAAAGTTTTTTTTTTTTTTAAGCAAACCGCGGTAAAATTTTAATTACCTAAAAAAGAAATAAATTTTTGCCAACTTTTGTATTAGACTTTTTCTTTAAAAAATATTAAATTATCAACAATTCAAAAGATTATATATATAAGTAGATAATAAAACAACGTATTTTTACAATTAATTTTACTAAGTTTGATAAAAAATTTTCAATGATATTTAATATAATATTAACTGCATGATTTAATTATTCGTAAAAGATGAAAAAAATCGATAAATTATAAGTTCTTTTTTTTTTTAATTAAAATAAAAATTTATATAATTTGAGTAAAGCATAAAAAGTCAGCTTACCAGTAGTTAAATCAAGAAAAAGGATATCTTCTTTGTCTATCGATGAAGCGTAGATATCATAACTATGTGTTGTTTGCGATGGGTAGAAGGCAATATCGCTGATATTTAAAGTTGTTTTCACGTCAAAAGCAAATTTTAGTCCGCTTGCTGGAAAAAATGTATGCAATATACATATATTGTTTATACAATTTGAATAATTTGTCAACTGCTATATTCATTATTTCAAAATTTAAAATTTGTCTTAGCATTTAATGAATCAAAAACACGTCTGATGTGTAAACAGTCTTCAATAATATTGCATTAGTATATTTAAAAGTATCTCATTTTATATTATTATAGTGAAAATGCAAAAAATGAAGTATATGTATATGTTTATATATTACGTAATATCTCCTGCACTACGAGAGTGACACCAGTGTTTTGTTTGTCGAGAGTAACCAGATATCTGGAATCAGGAGAAATTGCTGGTTTTCCCAGAATGCTCGGTTTGTGAGCAAGAACGCTGTCAGTAAGATAGTCTAAGAGCACTTGACCGGTCGGTCGACCAGTGATTGGCTCTTCGCATTCCAGTATGACAAAACCGTCTGAAAATAAAATTTTATTGCATTCTAGCTGAATAGCAAGTGGAACAGAGAATTTGAAGTTTACGTGACTAAACAAAAATTTTAAAAATATTGAAATAAGGAGGAACATTACAAAGATCGGAGAATTCCATGCTTGTTGGTACGCAATTGTAGCTGGCCAAGTTCACGGTACGAGTGTATCTCATGTTGACCAGATCGAGCTTGTACATCCCATGCTGATTCGTATGGGTCACATAGCCATATTTGAATATGTGTTTTGTATCCTAAGGAATAAAAGCTTTCTTAAAATTTTTCGAAAGTGACATAGATAATATAATTACTCACATAATTTTTTGTATTGATTGGATAATATATAATTCAAATTAATTAAATGGCATATTAGTCAAAGGATTTATTTTTAGTTTTAAGTTTGTATATAGCTTTGCGATATCGAAAGACAAAGATAATAAACATACTTGCTGCTGTGGAATATACAAGCCTTTCACGAGATCGAATTGCGCATCGATAGGCTCTGGTCGCATTGTATGGTGTTTTTTTCGCTGAGCAGCTTCCTTGATTATTTGCACGGTTTTGATACCGATATCCACTTCACTTCTCCAGTTTAATATCCAGACGTAATCAAGATTTTGTACGTACCACAGATCCACCGGATTTTTGTCTGTAGCCACTACCTGAGAAATTAATTGAAATTATTTGGAATTATTTTTAATATTCTAATATTAATGAACATTATTTATAATATTCTAAATATTTTCAATTTTATAATGAAAGATAAAGCGATGCGTACATCAATTATCATCATCTGTACTTCGCTGATCACAAGTACGCGGTTCTTATTCGGTTGACTAACGTATACATATCTATCAGCAACGTTAATAGCACGGCCCCAAGAACACGGAACATTTTTGGATCCGCAGACGTATTCCTAAAAATGTGTAAAGGATACGATGATAAGATCATTGAGAAAGAAAAAGATAGAGAAGAAGGAATATATTTCGCACCTGAGTACCAGGTATAATGTCTGTGGAATGAATTTCGTGTAACGCGTGACACGTAGATGGTTCATATACTAAAATACCCCATTCATGAAAAGATAAGAATCTGCGTTCTTCGTCCGTCGCAACTGCATACAAGATTTCCTCATTAAAGACACCATAAGATAATAAATAAAATTATGATAGTACTTAAAGTTACAACCAATTAGTACTAATAACGATAGAAAATTATTAGCGAATTTGATGCGAATGTTAAAATATTTCGATCTCTATTATATTAAAAATAATATTTTCTTAATCAAACATATTTGTATAATGCATGAGTTTTCATCAGAGCAAGGAGTTGCCCTTTACTCACTCGGTGTAGGTTGCTCCTGAATCACTAAACTGCTGATGTCTCTCGTTAGTCCCCCAGCGCTGGTCGCTTCACACATGTAAGCCCCAGTGTCGGCATAATCGACCTTTCTGATTAGCAATTTAGTACCGTTCCCGATTACTTCGTACTTGTCTGGCTGATCCTCGCTCAGGGGTTTGTCGTTCTTCAGCCATCGTACACGTGGGAGAGGCTCACCTATCACGTGGCACCTCATCTTTGCCGTTCCCTTTGGTCGCTTGGATTGAAATTGCGGGGTCACTCTCACTTCGGGTACAGCTAAGGGATATTATTTACGATTATTTTTTAACGTTATTTTATTCTCTTTAATTTGTTGATATTATTTTTATTATATAAAAAATGATATTTCTTCCAACTTTATATAATATATTTAATAATAACTGGAAAAAGTATGTCTTTTATGAAATACCTATATTTGTAAAAATTATTTAATTTTTTGTTAACATTTTTGTTAAAAATAAAAATCAATTTTCAAAGGAGGGAGTGTAAAAATGGCCAAAATTGGTACTGAATGGACACCTTTAAAACCTATGCAGTTGTCATTTAGAAAGTCCGTATATTCATGGAAAAATACTTATTTATTCAAGAAAGATTGGGAAACCTTCCAAAAATAATAAAATAGGTCGTTTAAATACTCTGCAAAGAAACTCATTTTGTTTCTAACAAACGATGATAGATTTCAAAATTAATGGTTTATTTACATTTAATACATGTTGTGGATCATGAAATACTATAAGAATACACTACCTGTATACATATATAAGTAGTAAATATATGATATCTACAACATATATGTATATGCCTAACTTATCTTTTATGATAAAAATATAAGTATAATTGATTTTTTGCATATTATTATGCAAAAAATTGGATAATGTGAAGAACAATATCTTTACCAGCAAAATCGTTAGAAGATTATTTTCAAAATACTTTTGATGAGACTTTTCAATTTGAGTTCAAAAAGATAACAAGAAAGACTTAACAAGAACAGATTACAAATAGTTGTATAAGAATAAAAACGAAAAAAATAAATAATGAAGTAAAGATAAAATATAAAAAATAAAAAATAAAGAATCAACAAAAAAATAAAAATAATAAAACGAAAAAATGGAGGCAGTAACCGTCACGACTCCGTTCGTTGGCTCCGGATTACGCACGGTTATCTAATGTAAAACCTATATATTTATGTAATATAATCGATCGTATAATTGTGCGATTTCTTTAATTATATCCTTCACATTGTCCAATTTTTTGCATAATAATATGCAAAAAATCAATTATGCTTATATTTTTATCATAAAAGATAAGCTGGGCGTATGTATGTAGATTAGGGTGGCCCAAAAAAAATTTTTACGCGGCCGCCCCCCAGAATTGTAAAAGATGCAAAAAAAAGAGACCCGTATTTTTTTTTTTTTAATCGGTTGATATTTAATGGTGCCGCTGAGCCTCTGAAGTTTCCCATGTATTCTATATGGGAAAAAAACACATTTTCGTAGATTCGATAAAAAATTGTTAAAAATGTCTGGTTTTTTAATCTGCAAACGATATTTCTCTTGAGAAATGTTCAAAATATGAGATTCTGGCAATTATTTATTAAAAAAAATAATGTTAACTATGTTTTACAGTGCCGCAGAGAACAAAACGCATGCAAAAATCGCACTTTTATGTTTAAAAGTATTTCTAGTAATTTTCTCGCTGATTCTCGCACATAGATTTTTTTTTTTTTTAAATGAATTGTTACTAATGATTTCTTGTATTTTATAATTGTTTAAACAAATTATTGTTGTTACATTTATTTATTCTTTCATAACTGAGCTATAAATTCGCAGTTTTTTTCTGAATTTATTTTAAACTTGTTACTCAGGAGTTTTCGAGGTCGCTGATTTCGAATCCGATATCAGTTTTCCAAAATTCAAAATGGCGGATCGAATATGGCGGAAGAATTTTTCAAAAACTGCTCAGATTCATTTGAAACTTGTTATGGGGAGGTTTTTCTGGGTCACTGATTACGAATCTGATGTCAGTTTCTAAAATTTTTCCAATAGCGGATCCAATACAGTGTGAATTTTATAAAATATTATATTTAGTTAAATATTAATAGAATAAAATATTTAAAAAAAAAGTTATTCATAATATGTTCCTGACTTTCTGAACGTTCATTTGAACGAAATTTTTTCTCATTTATCATAAATTACTCTTATTATAAAAAAAAAACAAAGCAGATATTAATTCTCATCAATTAATTAATCTATTGTTCGATAGAAGGCAATATTCAAGAACAATATTAAATTTTATATACCTATGAATTTTTAAAATTTTACTCGTTGACAGAATAACGTTTGCGTTAACGTATAGGAAACAATTTGGAAATTTGGTTTAAAAAAAATATTTTTACAAGTATATTTACTAGAGAACCATCTTAACTTAAGTTTATAGAGTGATATGTGTAATATTTCTAGAATTGTAGAATTGTAATAAATTAATTGCAATAATGAAATGTAACAAACGTTTATTATTCCTCAACGTATATTTTTAAATAATACTTAAACTAAACATAAAATTGATAGAAATACTTTTAAATAAAAAAGTCCTTTTTCTGCAAGTATTTCATTTTTTGCGGTCCTGTAAAACATAGTTAATGTAATTTTTTTAATAAATATTTGTTAGGATCTCATATTTTCAACATTTCTCAAGAGAAATATTGTTTGCACATAAAAAAACAGACATTTCTAACGATTTTTTTTATCAAATCTACGAAAATGTGTTTTTTTCCCATATAGAATACATGGGAAACTTCAGAGGCTCGGCGGCACCATCAAATATCAACCGATTAAAAAAAGAAAAAATACGGGTCTCTTTTTTTTTACATCTTTTTCAATTCTGGGGGGCGGCAGCATGAAAATTCTAAAAAATTTATTTTCCTGTGTATTTTTGGGCCACCCTAATATAGATATCATATATTTATCATTTATAGTATATTGAGCCATTAATTAAAGAAGAAGATTTATAGTATATGGTATGTATACATATATACATATATGTATATATATGTGTGTGTGTTTAGATCTATCTAATAGTGTATTCTTACAGTATTTCATGATCCAACATGTGTTAAATGTAAATAAACCATTAATTTTTAAATCTATCATCGTTTATTAGAAACAAAATGAATTTCTTTGCAGAGCATTTAAACTTTTTTTTATTATTTTTGGAAGATCTTTCCCAAGCTTTCTTGGATAAATAAGTATTTTTCCATGAATCTACGGACTAAATAACAACTGCATAGGTTTTAAAGGTGTCCATTCAGGGCCAATTTTGGCCATTTTTACACTCCCTCCTTTGTTAAACAATTTCTAGATAAAAGGAATGACTCTGGTAAGTTTAGAATACACAAAGGAATAATCAGTTTTGATATATGTATAATAATATTGTAAATTATTATATATAATAATAAATTATTATATATAACTTGGAATTTTAATTATATAGGGTGTTCAGCGTAACGGTCCGTACTATTTTTTAAACACTTCTGACAATTAAAAAAAAAGGTTGACAGGTGATTACCCATCTATTTCATGCGGGCTACAACATACGATAAAAAAATTTAAAAAAATTTTTTTATTAAAAAAGTCAAGATCATGAATTTTTTTAATAGCACCATACCATTTTTTTTCTATAATATTGTAGGAATCTTCAAGACGAATTCAACTATCGAGATTGCTACTTTTATTGATATATGTATATAGATTCATAATATTTATCACAAATACTCATTAATAAAGTTTAAGAAATTTTCAATTATTTAAAAAATAATGTCTTATTTTTGCTATATAAGCTAAGAATCGCACGCTTCTACGGCTTTAATGATTGTACCTGAGTATATTGCACATGACAACTTGTAGACAACAAATATTAATTTGCACGTAGAAATCGTTTATCAGACGAAATGTTTAAACAATTTTTGTTCTTAAAAAATAAAAATTTATAAAAATATGAAATCATATTTTTTGTATCCTAATTGTTTTACTACTTAATAATTATTTAAAAATAAAATTATTTTATATAAAAATTATATAAATAAAATTTTTTTAAAATTTTATTTTCTATCTAGATTAACGTAAAATTAATTATCTTTATCTTATCTAAAATACATTTTTGTGTGATTTATCTATATGTAGATAATTTTTAATTATCTAAGCGCAACACTGCATATCAGTTCCGACTTTCCATGTGAAACGAGAGTTACCTCATATCAAAAAATGAATTCGATGAGGTTTTTTTTTCGGTAGTAGAGCCCACCATAGGGGGAGGGGGGCGGAACCTACTGTATTCACGCATACACTTTACAACATTCAGTGCTTTACAAATTCAGTGCTTTACAAACAAATTCACTGCTTTACAAATTCAGTGCTTTACAAATTCAGTGCTTTACAAACAAATTCACTGCTTTACAGACAAATTCACTGCTTTATAAACAAATTCACTACTTAAAAAATAAATTGTTTTATTTTTTTTGTTTTTAAAGAAGTGAATTTGTTTGTAAAAGCATGGAATTTGTCTATAAAGTAGTGAATTTGTTTGTAAAGCACTGAATTTATTTGTAAAGCACTGATTTCTTTATAAAGCACTGAATTTCTTTGTAAAGCACTGAATTTCTTTGTAAAACACTGAATATTGTAAAGTGTATGCGTGAATACAGTAGATTTCGCCCTCCCCCTACGGGAAGGCTCCACTACCGAAAAAGAACCTAACCGAATCTATTTTTTGGTGTGAAGTAGTTCTCGTTTCACATGGAAAGTCGGAACTCATGTGCGAGCGTGCGACTCTTGGCTTATATAGCAAAAATGAGACATTATTTCTTAAACTTTTTTTGTTTATAATTTTTTAACAAGTGAGATCCGAAATAAAATAAGGTTCGAGTTAAAATTTCCTCAAGGGGTTACACCACAGTAGAAATTTCAAAAAATCGATTTTTTTTTTATTGGCTTAAAAAATCCTTTGAACCCTCTAGAATAAGAGACAAACGGTTTTATATCTGCCACAAATCGTTTTCATTGAAATTTCGAGCTCTTTCTCGACCCCTCCCGACTGCTCCGAAACGACTAGCTGCGGTAAATACGATACCTCCTTGTCGTGTACAGCATTATGTCTTACCATTCGATTTCTAACTTCTCTAATACACTAATAGATGTCGTTAGAAACATTTTCAAACATTTTGAACACAAAGTACGTTAGTACAGCGTCCCTTGAGAGAAGACGTAAATTTTGCGTGGAAGTTATTCGAAATCACGATTTTCTTTTGCAGTGCTAATTTTTCACACGTTATTTGTAGCCTTGACATTTATGTGAGTTACAATGAGTGAAAAGAAAGTGTATGCAAGCCATAAAGGCTCAAAAATATCGTATCAGACGCGGCGACGGAGCAACGTGACGAAACGACGACCGTTGAATAGATATGAAGCGGAGGAAGATTCGGCCGGTGTCAACGCTTCGGCAAAGAAATTGAAAGTGGATACTGACGATATCGATATACAAAGTGAATTTGGTTACCGAATTATAAACTTTTTTGCCGTTTTTTCTGCCATTTCGGAATGTGTGAAGTGCAAAACGTGCAACTCTGATATACGATTTCTCGAATCAGGTACGCGGGGTTTAGGCTTCAAAATAACCGTCTGTTGCCCGAATTGTCCAAAAGTTGAAATCCCGAGTTGTCCATTCATACGAAATGGATATGAAATTAACCGTAGGATTGTACTAACAATGCGACTATTAGGAGTGGGGCTAGCTGGAATATTGAAATTCTGCGCATTTATGGAATTGCCACGGCCTATATTTCAAAGTTGTTACGACCGTGCAGTAAATATTATTTTCATCGCAACGAAAGGCGTGCGAGACTGTAGTATGAAAAAGGCAGCAGAAGATGAGAAGAAGGAAAGTGAAGCAAAAGGGTTGCATACAGGAATAACTGTATCTGGTGATGGTTCCTGGAGAAAACGAGGATTTTCGTCTCTTTTCGGGATCACATCATTGATCGGATGGTTTACAGGGAAAATTGTTGACATTGAAGTGAAATCGAAATACTGTAAAGCTTGCGAGCACTGGAAAAATAAATTAGATACTACTGAGTATGAAGAATGGCTCGAAACTCATGCCGATCAATGTCAGTCGAACCATGAAGGCTCATCGGGTAAAATGGAGGTAGATGCTGTCATTGAGATGTTTCAACGTTCCGAAGCTTTACACGGACTGAAATACGCAAATTATATAGGTGATGGTGACAGTAAAACTTTCAAGGGGATATTGGATGCAAAACCGTATGAAAACTTTGAAGTGTCACAAAAAGAATGTATAGATCATGTACAAAAACGAATGGGCACTCGGTTGAGAAATTTGAGAAAAAAAACAAAAAATCTTGGAGGAAAAGGAAAATTAACTATAAAATTAATTGATCAGTTAACAATTTATTATGACTTGGCCATTCGACGGAATTCAAACTCGTTGGAAAATATGAGAAATGAAATCTGGGCGACATTATTGCATAAAATGTCAACTGACGAAAATCCACAGCACGAAAAATGCTCAGAGTCTTGGTGCGAATGGAAGAAGGCGCAAGCAACGGGTTCCTTAGATTCCTTTCATCATAAGCCGGCACTATCGAACGAAGTTTTTGAAGCCATCAGACCAATCTACGAGGATTTGAGCCGTGACGAGTTGCTGAATCGTTGCTTGGGAGGCTATACGCAGAACAGCAACGAAAGTTTTAATTCTACAGTCTGGCACTTGGCTCCTAAAAATTATTCAAGCGGAAAGAAAATATTACAAATAGCAAGTGACATTGCTGTTTGTAATTTTAATGATGGACTGATAAACGTTTTAAGAATAATGAAAGTGATGGACATGAACATTGGACCACAATCCTACAACTTTTGCTTAGAGGCGGACGCTACTCGAATACAACGCGCGGAGCGCTCTTTGACGGACGCAGCAAAAGAGGCTCGCTCCAGCATAAAAGCGTCCAGGAAAGAAAACGAGGAGGAGTTTAGCAACCTGGAAGGTCAGCTTTACGGTGCTGGAATAGCAGATTAAAGGTAAACAATTTTTAATAATCAAATTTTTTATTTTATCATGTTCGAAACACGAGTCAAAACTTTAAACGCGTTTTTCTCGAAACACGTTTTTTCAAATCGGCACGCAGCATAACTCAAACAATTTTCTATTTTTTCACTCCAAATTAATATCACATCTTTAAAACAACATTCCGCATAGAAATACGTAGCCGATTTTCAATAAGTTAATATTTCGAATTTTTAGATACAAATAAGTGCCCGTTTTTTGGTAGTAAAATGAAATTTTTTTTCAAATGCTCGTCAATTTAACAAAAATGAATATTTTCAAAATTCCCTACGTATTTCTATAGCTATACTAATGTAGTTTAAGAAAAAATTTTTTATTTTGTTCCAGATTTATTTTTGCTGCACTTCTACTGCGTGCCGCGGAGCCCCTCCAAAAAAAACCGTTCCTCAGAAACGGCTGTTGGGCAGCCATTTTGTAATAATTTTTAATAAACAAAATTTTTTTTAAAACTTCAAAACATGCTTAACAACATCCTTAAAAAGAATTACCATTTTACTTTTCCTTCCACTTAAAAAAAAATCGCAAAAAAACGTTAAATTTTCGCTCTCTACTGTGGTGTAACCCCTCAAGGAAAATTCACTCAGAATCATGACATTGATAACATATGTCAACGTCATTAGGAGTGGTTCCCCTAAACTCCATATTTACTATAAGTTCACGAAAGTATTCTTTTATTAATCAGTATTTGTGATATCAGGAGATGCGGTAGTGTCTCCGGCCATGTTCAAAAATAAATATTATGATCTATGCATATCAATAAAATCAATAAAACATCACTGAAAATGGCAATCTTGATAGTGCGTTAAATTTGTTTTGAAGATTCCTACGATATTATATGTAGAAAAAAATTGTATGGTACTATTTAAAAAATTCAAGATAATCTTGACTTTTTTATAATAAAACAAAAGTTTTTTTTATATTTTTCTATCGCATGTTGTAACCCGTATCAAATAGATGGATAATCATCTTTCAACCTTTTTTTTTAATTGTCGGAAGTGTCTAAAAAATTGTGTGGACCATTACGCTGAACATTCTGTATATCAATTGTATAATTTGTAAACGAAAAATTTTTCGTTTTCCAAACATAGGGAGAGGAAAAAATTTATTCAATCCAAATCTACTGTAATTGCTATTATTCCGTTTAAAAGACTTACTGTATATGGTAAGCATGTGAGTTTGCACCACGTCCTGGTTCCTAAGAGCGTGGCACGTGTAATTTCCAGCATGTTCCAACTGCACGTTTGTCAAATAAAGACTACCGTCGTTGAGAACGCGAATCTACAAAGTGTACGTTTGCGTTGCCTTAATTCTCTCGTAGTACGCTTCTTTATTGTTTAGAATGAGGATTATATCAGTTCGTCGGATTCAAATTAATTGTTTAAATTATTATTGCTCACTTAAAAGCTTTAAGAAAGAAAGTGAAAAAAATAATTTTTATACGTTAATTGAAATAGTAGTCTGATTGATGTATGAACGATATTACAGTATTTCGATATTTTACTAAAAGAAAAAGCTAACGACGAAGGATAGAGATCGAATTATTTCGTTCGAGTAGAATACCTCCGGCTCGTTGAGGGTTTCCACGTCCGTGCCGTAACGGCGCCAAACCAAGGGCGGGGGTGGTGTTCCGGTGACGTCGCACTTAATCTCAACGTTGTCCCCGACTCGTGCGGATATGTGATTCACTTCGAGGGATTTATCCAACGATACCACCGATACACCTGCACAGATCAGAACCAGCCTCGTATAAATTGTGTGTACGTTATACTTTGGTCAAATTGAATGGACGATCGTCCACCGTACAAACTTTGCATAATAATTCCTCATGGTCGTTTATATATGCGCGATGGCACTGTGCCGGTCACGTGTGCAGTCTGACAATTTACGATGACACCATTGTCCATGGACAATGCGTCCTGCATTGAGAACATTATAATACGGATTATCATAAGAAAATTATTTGAAAATAGTTCATTACTACGTTAGATCATATTAATGTTTGACAAAATTGTCAGTAACGATAAAAAAGAATAATTTTCGAAAACAAATATTTGTGCTACAAAAATTTGTTTTAAATTAAAGAAATTAACAAGAATAAGGAAACCGTAATAATTTACGATTTACTAAGCCATCTACGGTCAAAGCTAGATTACTATGCTTATTATAATGTGTGAATTTATATACCACGTATGTAGTCACCAATCACGTGCCGAAAATTTTTCAGACTTACAACGCAACACTTAAACAACTACCGCAGTAATATCACTTTTTTTAGTTAAATTGCTACCGCATATCTAACAATTATTTGATGCTTCTATATAGCATCTTATTAGATCTTTAATAATATGTTGGAAGACATATATTAAAATTTTAACAATTTAAATGTTAAAGTAATGATGAATCTAAAATCTGTGAAAAGTATGATTGCGAAGAATATACACGAGTTGGCGTTTCGTCCCGGTTTCCACTACTGGACTCATCAGTAAGGTATTGTAATGGAAACCTACCTTAGACGCCTGTTTTAGTTATTAAATCAAGATTCTATATATACAGATATGCGCGTATTTCAGCACTTGCGAGAAACATTGCGAACATCTATAGACCTCTAATGGCGAGTCGACGTAATGATATTCTTCACAATCATTTATCTAAAGTAGTAATAACGTCTATTTTCAGGCTGACGTAACAAATATTAGAATTCTGTATTACGACATTTAAATTGTTAAAATTTTAATATATGTCTTCCAACATATTATTAAAGATCTAATAAGATGCTATATAGAAGCATCAAATAATTGTTAGATATGCGGTAGCAATTTAACTAAAAAAAGTGATATTACTGCGGTAGTTGTTTAAGTGTTGCGTTGTAAGTCTAAAAAATTTTCGGCACGTGATTGGTGACTACATACGTGGTATATAAATTCACACATTATAATAAGCATAGTAATCTAGCTTTGACCGTAGATGGCTTAGTAAATCGTAAATTATTACGGTTTCCTTATTCTTGTTGATTTATAATTGACGGTCGTAATACAGAATTCTAATAATTAAAGAAATTAATTTGAAAGATTAAATTAATTTGAATACAACATTTTATTAACATAATTATATAATTTATCTTCATCATCGACTTGCAAAAGATAAATTTCGTAATAAATATAAACAAATGGATCACAAATGATGCTTACTATAAAGCTTGCTGAAGGCCATGTAGAACTCGTTAACGTTCAGTTTACCATCACCATCGGTGTCATCGTAACTGATCATGTGGCTCAAATTGCACCCTGCACATAGCTCTTCCATATTTTCTTCCTTGGCGATCTGAATGGTCGAAAGAGTTTAAGCGCATTATTCGCTAGACGCTCGCGCAATGGAAAAATCGTGTTACTGCCGTTAAAATAATGGCCCATCAAATAAATAATATCTTATCGCAAGTACTTCTCCCTCAGCTTAAGTTAAACTTGAGAGAAAACGTTAATGAAGAAACACTACACGAGGAAAAGTATATTCAATGTTAAATCACCTGCACGAGCTCTTCCCGCTCTAAATTACCATCATTGTTTCTGTCGTAGTGAGAAAACATGATGCTGACCAAGTACTCCTTACTGTGATTATCCTCAGCCATTAGTCTAGCGTGACTATATAGAAGTAAGTTGTCCTACGATGGATAAACAGAATAAATAAATAATAGTACAGTCTAACGTTTCAATAATTTTTTACAATTAATTATAAAGTATTATTGTGCAAAAAAATTATAAATAAATTAAAGAAGATATTTTTAACTGATATTTTCATATCTAATTTGTTTTTGTATTTTATATGAAGAAATCTTCGATGTTATAGCTAAATTTATACATGTATTGTAAATAAATCACAACTGAAAGCCATAAAGATTTCTTATCTTAAAAGTATTTAATTATTTTGAATTTGTATGTATCTAATATTCTAAAGTAATCATTATTTGATGAAGGAACGATGCGATGAAGAGTTATTCGCGTATCGTAGCTAAATAATAAATTCGAATTCATATGCCCTAGTAATTTTTTTTTATTGAAGCTATATCTGAATACAGCTATAGAGAACATTAATGATAAATAAAGTAATCTATTTGCAACTCAAGAAGATAGGGCAGTGCTTTTCACCGAGAAACTCTCGTTAAACTTTCCTACGTTTTAAATCGGAAATTATTGCATCGCGGAGCGAAATCAATAACATACTTTCATAATCTCGTATTCCTGCGCTGAACACTCCTCGATATCGTGACCGTTCTTTCGTAGGATCGATTTGTTCACCGGATGATGCTTCATCTTATTCTTGGACTTAGCGTACTTAGCAATATTCTTGCCTTTGGTGGAGGCATGGTACGCGAAGAAATCCTTTCGTGCCTGTGCGCTGTAATTACCTGGAAATGATGGAACATTCCATTATAAACTTCGAGTTTCCATGTAACGACATCTCTCTTTTTTTCTTGTCGTTACAACTCTTAACAAACTAGACTGCTGCGCGGCTGCTATAAATTAATAGAAAACTTTTAAGTTATTATTGAGTTCATAATGAAACCAAAGTTTTGTGAGTCCGCTGGAGTCCTATGGTTTCTTTTTCCCTTAGAGTAAACAATGAATTAAAGTTAAAAGTATCTCAGCAAGAGAGAGAGAGAGAGAGAGAGAGAGAGAGAGAGAGAGAGAGGATTTGGATAATCTTCATTTAATGTCCTATAAGATTTATACGCTGTTATGCTTATAAACTTAATTTACTGATTACTAATTAAAAAATTATATTAGTAGATTAAAAATATTAAAAGTTAAAAGTCACGATTAATTACTTATACTTCTTTATATATAATGACCTATCTCTAACAATAAAATTCCAATTGTGTTAATAATTTACGATAAAAATCTGAAAATATTATAGCTAATGGTGTATTAATTGATTCGTTTTATTCTATCGCTATTAAGCTTAATTTTTGATAATCCTTGTTAAATAATTAAATTAAGTTAAATCTAATAATTAATTAAGTTGAATAGCTAGATAATTAAAATTAAATATAGATAAAGTTCAGTGCACGTCACGGGGTCGACGAACTCTAGCGTTCTTCTATTTCACTAAAATCTAAAATACAAGAATTGATTTCGAGCCAGTAAGAAATCTTGTTTTACTTTTTTCACACATTTATCGTCACTAATTTAATTAAAAATTTAGAAAGAAAAAGATGTATATTATTGATAAAAAAAATAACTTATTACCCAAAACGGTTAATTCTTTAATACTATATGATATCAGAAAAATATATACGAAAAATAAAGTAAACTTTTATATTTTAAATTCCCTACTCATCAGTTTATCGATTAAAATCATAAATAAAGTACATATATATATGTATATATGTACATACAATGCGTATTACTCTTCTACCGACGAACGAGATATTTTCTCCATGCATACGTAAGCTTTCTGTGCTATATGCAAACTAGAACTATGCACGTATAGTAGGATGCTTTCCAGCAAGAGACACAGATAGCACAGCGTAGCACACACTGAATCATTACATGTGTTGTGTACTCTTACTGGAAAATATCCATACTATTCAGCATGTGCTCACCATTGCTAAGGCATCTGGAGAGCCTTCGGGTGGTTAACGGTGTGTCGGCGTTGCAGGCCGCGCGGTGCATCTCGCAGTGATTGACGTACACCCTGCCATTGCTTGCACAGACCGGTCGATGCCTCCGCGCGCATTTATGAATGCAGACGCACGCGGCGACGAGCTCCTCACCGTTCGCGGAGACTTGGCACTCTCTTCCCACGCCGCAATACTTCACCAAGCATGGATCGTCGTCTGAAAGAGCGAAAAATATCGCATCTTCGCTAACGTTCCTGCCACCCTCCCCCCCCATCGGGATCGCAATCCTTGAATATGCGGCCGGTATACGCGAATGTTTCCCGTCAGCCGTATGTTACAAGCGCGCGCGATTGATGGCGGGATCTTATATGTGCGAAACCGGGAATACCTTGCGCCACGAATATACGCGTCCATTTACGATAAAATTGCCGATCATCCTAGGTAATGCGATCGTTCTATCTTGTTGCAATAAATCACTCTACGCAACCCTCTGTTCTCCTAGATCGCAACCTTAGAATACCGTCATATAACTATGCCGAATCATTTCGGGAGAAATATTTCTCTCTTTTTCCATCCCTAATATTCTCTTTTCATTTTACGACTCTGCGACGATTTTATCATCGCAGAGTCAATAAAATGGCATATTATATGTAACCGCGGGTGATGTGATTTCAAAATACATATAGTTTTGCAAGCAGTATGGAAATTAATCCGTGATAAAATATAATATAAAGTAAAATGCTAATGTATCAAAAATATCTACTAATTGCAAGCTGTACTTATGTGTACGCTAAAAAGAAGGGTATCATATATGCATACAAACAGTAATATCGCATGAAAAGAATTCTTCTTTGACATGTTCCGATCGTATATATTACTCTCGTATCATCCTTCTTTTATTCGCGTTGCGATGCGAACGATTTTCGCAGCTTCGTAGCTATGTGCGCGTTTTTTTACGTCATTGCGATCTTGTTGATTGTAGGATTGGTGCTTTATACAATTTTGGCGGCATACGGACTGATTTAATGACTGCGCACGAGCTAAACGCGTACGATCTCGGCGAATTGTGATACCGGAGATATACACAGTTTAATTAAACTTCCCGAATGGCGCAACGACATACGAATTACTAATTGACATATATGTATGTAGAGAGGGGATTTAGCGGTTACGCACTCTTGTGGACGTGACGGTTCTCCGAGTCTGCGGATTCATCGTCCGTCGAGGTTGGGATGGTGGATGGAGGACTCTCGGTGCCCGGCGACACGCCATTGTTGTCCACCGTAAAATAACGATGTCTCGAGCGCTGAAAATGATGAATATCATATATCAGAGATATTACGTCGAGATATATATATATATATCAAGTCGCGTATGTACGAAAGATTTTGTAAGAATAACGTAACGATATCACGTGACGATATAGAACTTTTTTAACGACATAATCTCGTACAACTGGCAGCTGAGGAATCTCAAGTCGATTATCTTTAGCAAGTTGCATCGCATTCTTCATTGGTCTTTGTAGACTTTAAAATATTCAAAGCATTTCGTGAATTATTCGTCGTCAACGGTCTCTGGATCGCTTCGAGTCGCCGGAAGTCGACCGCGAGCGCAAGGAAACGAGGGGTGGTTACGCAGACTCGGTGGTTTCCGGATCGAGTCACGGTCCAAGATATGCCCTTCTACCTTGCCGAGTGCACCGACGCGACGATGGTCGATCTCGCTCAGGTAAATACGGCGCAATGTCAATGTACACAGATAAATGCCCATAGATACCGGGAGTACGGATTATGGCCACTATCGGAGAGTTACGCGAGAAGTCCGCGTACTTTGGAGCGGAGCCAAAGAGATCTGCTGTAAGGAGAGTGCTCATCTAGCGGCCATCAGCTTTGAGATGAAGAGGCTTATACGAGTAATGATGTTCGTGAGCGAGAGAAAGAAAGATAATATGGCGAGAGGATACAGCGAAAACATGAAGGATTTGTATAATCAGGCGATAAGTTGTGTCGCAACTTGAAATTGAAACGAGCGCTGAAAAGCTTTCCAGAGAAAACCTAATTTCAACCATTAATCTTCCGTCCAATTTCGTTTATGTGAATTTATTTCACTTTAAACACAAGCAATGTTTAAACACAGCATTAATTATTTCTTCTTAGTTAAGATTTACTTCGTTCATTGTACCCTTTGGTTAAAGAGAGGATTATTAAAAATCGATTATAAGGACAGAGAGAAGCAAGAAAATTAATTAAAATTAATTACAGCAATTATGTTCAATTTAAGTTTGAAGACATAGATGCGAAAAAGGTCTTGTTAATTTCGATTACTAAATTGCTCTTTGATTTAAGAATATCGCTCGAATCCTCACAATCTTTTTATCAAGATTTAGTTTAATTAAAATAATTTTAATTAAAAAAAAATCTGATAGAGATAAATAAAAATTCATATGCGAAACATAGCACAAATACCTTATAATCTTATTTTAGAGCATATATAATTTCGTTTAATAAATGTAAACAATAAAACAGCAAAATATAATTATGTGGTTTAATGCAAGTATATAATACTTAATGTTGATAAATGTATAACAGTGTTTACCTTGGAACGAAGTATATCAGAACTCAGTGCAGGGGCAATATAGGTTGAGACGATCGAAAGCAACAGGAGATAAAAGGTTACGAGGCAGGGCTTTAGTCGCATCTGAAAAATATATCAAAAATTATATCAGATCGCTGTCAGGTTTTTATTCTTTTATATCGTTTGCTTTATTATTATTGTTTCTTAGAGTAAATAAAAAAGAAGTACTCTACAAACGTAGATAATAAAGACACGAAAGGTAATTGAATATGGCATGGATTACTTAGTTATCGACAAAATTCTTTTTCTCTCTCTCTCTCTCTCTCTCTCTCTCTCGACAAATGTTAGAGATAAAATTCTACTTCTCAATTAACTCGAACAAAGAAGATAAAATATTTTTATTTTAGCTCGTTGTATGTAGCCATAATAATTAATCTTACATATCTATTAAATGATTATATATCAATATATTATATATATATATATATATAATATTTAGACACGCGTAGCAGTCTCTCTATTAACAGAAATAGAATTTTTGTGTTTAATAAAAAATGACTTTGTTTTTTATTGTTCAAAATTTCCATATAAATACATACAAGTACCTTCTTGGAATCTATCAAAAATATGAATTTTAAATTAATGTATTTAAATAATTATAAAATCGAAGAAAAATATAGAATGTCGTATCATTTAGGTACAAAATGTATAAAATATTTTCGTTTCTTTATAGATAAAGGCAAATTTCATACTGTGCCACAGTGGCACATTGTTCCCTTGTCCGGAATCCAATCCCATTTAATACCGCGAGAAAGTTATACTTTTTCCAATTATCTAACCGTTCGTAATTTATGTTCTTCTAATCCACTGAGACTACCCAACTCTTCCGATATATATGCCACGAAAAGAAAAGGGAGGGAGAGGGGAGAGAAATCACTGCGATTCTGTATGCCTGGAAATTTACAGTGCTATATTCCGGAGACGTTTACACGGTAGAGGTTGGCCCATCTTAAATCTTCCGATTAACTTCGAGCGCTAGTCCATATTTTATATACATGGCACTTTGAAATTTACCGTTAAAATGGCACTTTTGTGTACGAATTGTAAGATATCGTAAGGTATCGCAAGCGCATACGATTTTCACTGTGAAATACGAAAACACAGTTAACGCGATACAAAACATGATGAGTATTGAATGACATTGAATAAGAAATACCATTGTAAACCGACAGATATTTTTTTATTATCGTAAAATAATGAAATTATTCTTAAGACTCACTCTTAAATTATTCACAAAAACTTTAGTATTAATGAAAATTGATGCGTATTAACATGTTATTTTAATATATTAGATTAGTTTTATATCGCCTATATTAAGTATAATAAATAAAGTCTAATATATATTATATAATATTTTTTTAAATAAGAGATAAAATGAAAAGATAAAGAATGTTCTATATTACTCGCTTGAACAGAATAGTGATTTTCTTAATACATGAAATACATGCGATAATTTCAAATAATCATGCAAACATATATATGTATATGTATGTACATAATACACTTTTCAACAAAATTAATGGATAACTTGTTCCACCCTGCAAAAATAGACAAATTTCGAGATAGAATATCTTCGTCAAAAATCAAGAGTTTTAAAAAGCTTTTAGATTTTAAAGCTTAAAGTCCCTATTTTTCAGACCTGTACTTTAAAAAACTGTATTACTAATATTTTATAAAGTTACACAAACATAAATGAAGATGCATCAAATTTCAAAATTTTTTACGAAATTTGCAAAGTTCCACGGAGCCAAGTAAAAATTGTGCATAAATGCGGCTTACAGCTTTCGAAAGAGTGAATTTTTACCTTTAATTTTTTTTGAGCTCTACAATTTTTTTTACCGAGTTATTCAACGTTGAAGTAAAAATGATCCTTTTTTCCTGATATTAAATGATTCTAATTTTGTTAAAAAACTACAGGCAAACTTCAAGATAAAATTAATACCTTCGTCAAGAATCATCGTATCAAGATGTTTAAAAAATAATTTTTAAGCTTAAAATCTTTACTTTTTATATTCATATTTAAAAAAAAACGATATTACTGATATTTCGTGAAGTTACATAAATATAAGTAAAGATGTATCAAACCTCAAAATTTTTTACAAAATTTGAGAAGTTCCATGACGCGAACTAAAACTTGTGCACAAATGCGGTTTACAGCATTCGAAAGCGTGAATCTTTATCTTTAATTTATTTTTTAATTGAGCTCTGTAAGATTTTTTTTCACAGAGTTATTTAACATTGAAGCAAAAGTGGTTCTTTTTGCTTTAATGTTGATTAACTCGGTGAAAGAAAAACCGTACACAGCTTAATAAAAAAATAAAGATAAAGTTTCATGCTTTCGAATGTTGTAAACCGAATTTTTATGCGATTTTTAATTCATGCCACGGAACTTCTCAGTAGTTAGTATAAAAATTTTTGAGATTTAACGCATTTTTATTTGTGTCGGCATAACTTCGTAAAAAATTAATCGAATATCAATTACTATTTTCAAAAGTAGATATTTCAAGTTTTAGAATGCTTTTTTACAAATTTTTTTACGATTATTTTTGACGAAATTACACTCTTTTGAAATTTCCCCATTTTTTGGAAGGCAGGATAAGTGATGCTTCAATTTTGCTATTGAGTGTATATGTTTAAAATATTATCCTTTCTCTCGTTTACCGAAAAGATGTGAATTAAAAAAAAATAAAGAAAGAACATATAGATTACAATTTTAACAGTCAATTTGGTTCTATTTTAAATAAATCCGTGGCACTTAATTAATTTTCTTATTCAGAATAGGTTTTTTGCCGAGAAATATTTTTTTAATTAAGAGAACGTATATTCTTCTCAACTTTCCAAATTAGCTTGGTTTTATAAACAGATGTGAAGCAGAAGGCCATTATTGGCGCGCCACTGTCGGTTCTTGAACGATTGCTGATGATAGAACACTGTAGCCTTTTGGGAGGGTCATTTAGCCAAAAGCCTGTCTTGGCCTTGATATGCGGAGCAGTTGGGTAGGAACATACATAGGGGCGTGCTGACAATACAAGGAAGTCTCAGTTCTTCTTTGATCTCGGTTTGGTACGCATATGTTTCTTGGTGCAGTTTGGAAGAACGAATACTAGCCTGTACAGATAAATTAGAGATCTGAAGTGGATCTTCCATTTTTTTTCGGATTCTAAGATTTTTTTGTGAATATTGTGTGTACATACTTTTCAATTATTTTTCAATTACAAGGTATTAACATTCATATACATATAAATAATATGTATATATATTCTTCAAAATTTATTATAGAATTTATCAATTAAATATCTTTATTTATCGTATTACATTATAAGATTCATATTATTGCGAGATATTTAATTTCTCTCATATCATTTTTATTATCACCAAGTAATGTTTATGACATTTTCTTTTGTTGTATTGAGAACAAATCTCTATTTTCTCAATAGATTATTATAAAAAATATTTATAATGTAAATATATGAATTAATGTTGAGAAACGGCGACAAACTAATTTCCTTCAAAGTATAACTCGCGTGCATATACACATATATTAATTACAAATCTCTATCTCATTATATTCATTACAAATAGTTTCCAACATCTTCTCATTTTTTTATTAAAAGAGAATCTCTCTATTTTGTGTGCAAACTTGACGATTGTTCGGTCGCAGATCTCAGTGGAGTACTTTGCAAAGCTAATCTTCGAAGAGCGACGAATTCACGGGAAGAATGATGGTGTACTTCTTATTCGTCGGTTGCATTGTGCTACTTGGCGTCCTCGAGGAGTCGTTTATCTCAGCTGCAACAACGAGAGGATACGACTTCCCACAGACAACCTCCGCCACGAATCTGAACGGGAGCGCACAGGACGCGGCCGCGAGCATCAATAATCCGGAATCCGCCTGCCCGTGTTTGACATCGGTCAATAGCTCGACGATCCCCGGACAATCGGACTGGATGACGCAGCAGAGTCGGCAGCGTCTCGAGCAATTCTATACTCAAAACGTGATGTTGCATGGCATGATGTGCTCGTGCAACGTAGCCATGCACGGCGCCCCAATGAGAGACGATTATCATTACACGGTAGGTATCGGTGCTCATAAGTTGCACACGAGGGCCGCCACATGGAACGACGCGAGAAAGTACTGTAACGAGGAAGGTGGTCACCTCGCGATCATCAATTCTATTGCTGAGGAGCATGTGAGTAGCTAATCCAATTTTACTGCGAGTATTATTGATTATGTATAATAAATGTTTCGTATGATTTCGATTTTATTTCATCAAACATATTTGTAAGATACGCGAAAGATAAACAACGATTATGAGGACGTAACCGTCATCCTAGTTAATGTTTCACGCAATGTGCAATCTATTGATCTTTTTTCAGGTACTATTGGACATATTTAATCGCTCCGGACCGATCAAGGGTGCAGCTTATCCCGATGAGGCTTTTTTAGGTATACACGACCTTTATGCGGAAGGTGAATGGGTTACGGTGTTGGGTGATTCGTTGGCAAAAACCGGTTATACCAGGTGGAGCGATAAGTGGGGCGGACAACCTGACAATGGAGGCGGCAAACAGCACTGTGCTGCTCTAATGAAAGAGGGTGGCATGGACGACGTCGCGTGCGATGTCCCATTTCCATTCCTCTGTGAACTTCCGCTGATGCGGATTTTACAATAAGGAAAAATAGGGAAAAAAAACAGCGGCTCAGTGCACCGTTAAAGATTAAGCACTGCATGAGGTTTATGTGCTCTACTCCTTATGTACCTTGGCGCTTTCATGGCGGCATTGCGAACATCATATCCACGAAGGGTCTTTTTCTCGACGAATATCTACACAGACATGCACACACACACAGGGTGTGTTTCAAAACCACCGGATTTCCTTTCAAGAACGAATTCTATTCACTTTTACCACTTGTCATATCATGCTCGGGCACGTGAAATGTCTTTATGATTCGATAACTTTAATCTCTACTAATTTAAAAACTATTGTAACTTTGATGTTTCTATACTGAGATTTTTGTTTTATAATATTTCAAAGAATTCCATCCAATGAAAAGAAATTCGATGATTTTAAGACACTCTGTATATATCTTGTATACATTTAAAATATATTGTCTATATTTTCTTTTTTTCTAACATATGACATCTCCTTTCAAATTTTTCTTTGTTATTTCCTACAATAGATCATTCACCAGTGAAATGTTTGACTTATGTAGTCTTATATATTATAAATACGTCTCTCTCTGAATTTCTTTTAGATTTGTCAAGAAATTTATTTTCTTTTCTTTTCCCCTATTTGTCTTTATATTGATACGAATTTAAAATAACAAGCGAACTTTTCGATTACTTGGTCACATTATCATTATTAATGTTGAAATTAGCGATTCTAATTAGTTGCTTGTTTCTGCACAGTACAGTTGTATTTCTGAAGTTTGGACATTGTAAGTTTCTCCATTGTAACACAACGGTACTATTATGCGTTGAATTATGTTGTATGAATTTACAGTAGGGTGAGAATTTTGCTTTATAGTACTATCGCGCAAAAGTGCAACAATTCGCAAATATTTAAAAATTAACTATATATTAGTTTCTTGTATCTTTTTGTATTAAATGAAATTGATATTTTTATCTGAATCTTCTTGTTTTACGAGAGCTTAACCTCGCATATCATAGCCAAAGTATAACTTACAAACCTTCGCGATTTATGTTTACAGGAAATATAGTGCTCACGTTAAGTTCCGAAAAATAAAGAATTTATAGAGGCATCGATAGAGTAGAGCAATAGAAGTCGATGTTACGAACGGCGTAAGTCAGTATATTTACGGCGGTGTAACTCGTGATTTTTGATTTTGTTGAATCCTCGCTAAATTGCTTTTCAAATTGAGAGGTATATGGAAATTAAGGACTGAGCTGATTTCAGATGCAATATCTGTGTTGAAAATTATAACCCTAGAGAAACCAAATGTTCAGAGAAACCAAAGTAAATAGCAAATGATAATTACTATCTTTCTATTACAATTAATATTGAAATATTAAACGATTAATTATACGCTGAGTAATTCTATATTATGCGCTATGATAAAATTATTATTGATACTATAGATTTGTGTCAGAAACGTTATTGTCTATCGCATACGACATGTCTTGACCTATTTACTTAATTAATTAGAAAGTTAGTCGACAATCTTTATTCTTTAATATTATATACATATGTTTAGTTACATTTTTTGTAATATTTTATATATACAGATAAAAAATAAATTGTATGCATTAAATAGATCAGGCCTTTAACTTTTTTTTATACATATATTATCTCGTAATTTTTAGAACTTAACAAAAGTTATATTTTGTAAGTACTTGTAATTAATTTTTTTATAAATTAAAAAAATAGCGTTTAGAAATTATGTATATATAATTATTTTATTATCTGTCTATAAAGATATTCTATTTCATAAAAAATTTCTTTTATTAAATAAGGACTAGTAGCTAAAATTTTGTTTCGCGCGTTTTTATTCATTTTCATTTTTTTTTTTTTCTGTTTTCTACAAATGCTATGCTATTTATTTTTAATAATCTAGAAGAAATACAGCTGAAAACAAAAAATTTATTTTAATACAATCTACTATTATCTGTTTTGAAAGAACGTGATTATTTTTAAATTAATGCTCTAAATTATTAAAATTACTACTAATAACTTTTTTTATGTCAAGAGAAAAGAAAGTTTGAATTATAACGAAGCTTTTTTTATGTATATGTAGTACTTGCACACAAAATGTGAAATATTTTCAAATAACATTCTTACAAAATACATAAAATGATATAAGAGACATTTTTATACAATATCGGGTATAGAACGTTGCATGCATACTAAAAAGCAAGTAATATAGAATATAAGATCTTTTGATAGAATCCATAAACTTACAAAAACTATTCTCTTTACAAGCTGCAAAAACTTTTCTTTCATTTGTCTAAGAAGGAAGAAATTTAGCAATTCTGTGGCTGGACAATCTGACATTTTGGTCTACGAATATTGCGACATTGGTTACAGTTTGGCTGATTTAGCAACTATGAATGTATAAGTTTGTTTCCATTCTTTTGCGAGTTACTAATGACGCAAGTTTCGTAGTGAAACGTCGGTTTAATGAATCTCAACGGGATTGGCCTTTCTTTCGTTAATCCAATTTCTTGCTACATGGGAGTTTGCAAGGAAATAGCAAGTAACTTTTGAACAACTTTCTTGAGCGTAATATAATATGTTTTATGTGCCACTATCGCATTAACGCTTAATAGTAAATTCTGTGATTAATGTTGAATTGTAACAAATATGTGTGTGTTGTGTCAACAAATTTTGGAATGATTAAAGAATTTAAGATTCAAATATAAATGATCATATTTTTCAAATAATTGTAAATAAGTTTAACAGCAATAAATATTATATACAATAAAAAAATTAAATAAATTTAACATTTAAGTTTAAAATTAAATTTTAAAAATATTGCAAAAGTACAAGACTTTTTCTAAAAAATTCTGATTAAGATATAAAATTGCTCTCTGTTATTTAAAACAAAATTTAATTTATAGGTTTCATATTATTAGTCAAGTTCGATCTCGATCGATGATTTCGATGTATGTACAATCGAGATATGGAACAAGCGTAAATATCTTCTGGTTTTCGGATAGCATCCGAACCCAGACCATGTCCGAACCTACAAAATTATATATAAGTAGATATAACCGTAGAAAATATGACACATGCTGAAAAATGAATTGTAACCAGTACATTATCAACAAAAACCATCGTAAAATTTATGTCACAGACAAATCGAGTAACATTGCGATACGTATATAAACTCCTAAGCAATGTCATCGTTCATTCTTTCGCACGACTTGCATTTAATGATGTTAGAAATTGGTGTGGAAAACGTAAGCGAATTTTTGTGTATTAATATATCATTTCGATATACATATGATTTATATTATATTATGCATATTATGAACATGCTGTCAAAAATATTAACAGAAATTCTGGGATATGCAACAGACTTCGATTAATCTTCAAGACTTATTGTTAGTTTAAGACCTAAATTCATTTCTACATTTTTATTTCAGTATGAAATATATTTGTGTCTACAGTAATTATTGTTAGCAATAATTTCTGATAAATTATTAGAGCATTAATTATTTGTGATTGTAAATGGTCGTTTGTCCCTTGGACTACGGCATTTGACAAAGTCATCTTAAAGAAGACAATCGTCATATTTCGTATGCTGGATAACGATTGGACATCGTTGTCGCCAAATCGACACGATTCTCACCCTTATCAAGGATCTAATTACGAGAATGAAAAATTTTATGATGGCAGTTCCGTCGTCTTTTCCATGCTGACGGATTTCTTCGAGAAAAAAGCGAACGGCGTTAATGTCCAGTTATATGTTCGGAAACAAGTATGCAAATATTTTGAAACGGTATCGCAACAAAGAATCTGCTTCGTCGCTATATCGGTTGATAATCTGCTAAACAGCATCGTCAAACAGATTCGCGAGCGGAACAAATTGATGGAACACTTGTCGGACTTCTATAAATGACAGATTATTTCGAGATGATAACACCGAAAATCGAAGAGCCGCTGATTATTAATGTGGGAGGAAACTTTTTATCTCAAAAGCACTTTTTGATCTTACTGTTCGATCGCATTTGTTTTGGAATATTTATTAGAAATCGATTATCAAGTAGAAGTTAATATTATAAATGTGTTGTTCGTTAAAATATATTAACAAATCCAATTGTAATCTTCTTACGAACTCTCTTATTTTCCAAAACCAAAAAATATGGATCAATGGATCAGACTATTGAGAGTCGAAGCGCTTAATTTACGATCAGATACTGAAGGCTTGCATCGAAATTACATTCAACTTTTAAGTAATATTTAATAATGTTTGTTACGATATAATATTTTAAACGTTGGACACTTTGTTATTTTGACATTTTTATGTTTGTTGTTATTAACGACTGTTGGTTTGTGTAATTTAAACCGTTGTTCTTTAAATATTTTTTATAGAAGTTACTAGCGTTACTAGAGTTATGTTATGTTCTATAAGCAGAAGTTTGCAAGCATGAAACAAAAGGTAATTTGATTGGAACTTAGTAACAGCACTTTCATTTGTGTGTGATTTACTTTTGTTTAGATAGACATGGTGAGCTCATCATCCCGATTTCTGTAGTCGCATTATAAATTAAGAATACTGTTTGTATTGTATGTTGATTGCTTGTAATATCTGAAGGTAATGTAATAATCTCGACTCTAACGTATGATATATTGAATTATGTATATCTGAAATATATTACTGTTTCCACCGAATTGCCATCGTCGCAACTTAGATATTTTTTAACAGGTTATGGGCCCAGAGCGCTCGTATTTGTCGGCTCTTTGATATTACTTAAAAATAAAAATATTTCTCATAAAGGAAAACGTTTCTTCAGATATCATACGTTTATCATTTAGAAATATAATAACAGATTGTGAATCATATTGATATTAAAAAAGGTTTTCTTAGGAGTGAAAGATAAAATAAGTTTATAGTAATAAAATTAAAGCCGTTTGATGTAATAATAATAATATAAAAATTGTGCTGAATATTGGACTGAAGCGAACTGAGAAAGTTTATTTTTTTTTAAAAAAAAGATCTATTATATTGATTTGTAAGAATAGTGTTTTTTAAAAAAAACGATTGTAAAATTATTTTTTTTTCATTATAGAAATAGATATAATGGAAAAAGTAGTGAATGACGATATTGTTAGTATTGATAAGTTGTCGACTTTAGAAGACTATCCTATTTGGAAATTTCAATTAAAGATACTGTTTAAAGCCAATAATTTGTTTGATTTAGTGACGATAGATAAACCAGTTGCGGAACGTAATGATAAATGGTTAAAAGAAGATGCAAAGGCACAAAAGTTAATAATAACTACGATTGATAAAAGACCGCTTTTGCATCTACTTAATTGTAAAACAGCTTTTGAAATGTGGACAAAACTAATAACGATTTTTGAAAGAGACAACGAACAGCAAAAATGCAATCTATTACAAAATTTTTACAGCATATCGTTTGATAAAGGAGCAGATATTGTAACTTACATTAGTAAACTTAAAAATCTTGCTAATAGGTTAAAAACACTGAGAGTAGATTTGGACGATAATATGATTGTTTCTAAAGTACTTGTGACTTTACCAGAGGAGTTTGCACATTTTGCAAGTGCATGGGATTCAACGGAAATGGAAAATAAAACACTAGAAAATTTGACTGCCAGATTAATAGCGGAAGAGATGCGGATAAAAGCAAGACATCAAGAAGAAAAAGGAGTAGCTTTTAAGGTAACAAGTAAAAAGTGTTTCAGATGCAGTAAATTAGGACATGTAGCAAAAGATTGTAGAGTTAAGACTAATCAAGCGAACAAACAGGTACGGTGTTTTCGATAATAAAATAGGTCACATTGAAAAATTCTGTAAAGAAAAGACGCAAAATAAGAATCCAGAAGGTTGTAGCATTTGCAAGAAAACAAATCATAATGACAAGAATTGTTTCTTTAGGAAAGACAAAAACAAGAAGTCTGAAGATGAAGAAAAAGTATCTTTTCTTGCTGCAAAATTGGAAGAAGGAGATCAGTGGATTGTTGATTCTGGAGCAACGATGAATATGACAAATATCAGTAAAAATATTTAAAATTTTAGAAGACTGGATACACAGTTTGGTGTAGCTAAAGCCAATGAATCGATGAAAGCTGAAGGATCAGGGATGATGGAGTTTGAAAACTGCAAATTAAAGGAAGTAATTTATGTTCCAGAGCTAAGTAAGAATCTATTGTCAGTAAATGCAATAACTGATAGTGGAGGTCAAGTTTTGTTTACCGGAAATAGAGTTGAAGTAAGTGTTGACAATAAAGTTTTTTTAAAAGGCGATAAGTTGAAAAACGGTCTTTATCAAATAAAATTGAAAGTAGAAGAGAATAATGAGGCGCATATGATTGAAAACACAGTAGATAAAGCTGTAGTGTGGCACAGGAAATTGGGTCACATAGGAAATGAAGGCATGAAAGAACTTCAGAAGATTAGTGACGGGATGAATCTTTCTGTGACCGACTTCAAGAAATTGAATAAAAATTGCAAGATCTGTTTGGAAGCAAAACAAACTAGATTAAAGTTTGACAATGCAAGAGGAAGAGCTGAAAGACCGCTGCAGATTATACATACGGATTTGTGTGGACCAATTGATCCTGTTACATGGGACGGATATAAATACTTTATAACTTTTCTTGATGATTACACGCATTACACAATGGTGTATCTTCTCAAATCTAAAAATGAAGCTGCCGACAAAATAAAAGAGTATGTTACAAGAATGGAAGCACGTTTGAATTTAAAAGTGTCGAAGATAAGATGTGATAACGGCAGAGAATTTGTTAATAAAAGTGTCTTTTCTTGGAGCAAGCAAAAAGGCATAGAGATTGATACAACGGTACCATATACTCCTCAGTTAAACGGAAGAGCGGAACGACTGAACAGAACATTGCAAGAAAAAGTAAGAGCACTGCTTTTCGATACTGATATGAACAAAAACATGTGGGGTGAAGCTCTTTATACAGCTGTCTATATAATTAACAGATCACCTACTCAGTCATTGAAGGTAACTCCTTTTGAAAAATTAGAAGAGAGGAAGCCCAACTTGAATAATCTACAAGTGTTTGGTTGTTCAGCGTATGCAAAAGTACTCGGCAATTTTAAGAAACTAGATAAAAGAAGTAACAGATATATTTTTGTAGGATACGCACCTAATGGTTATAGACTGTGGGATGAA